TGGCTGAATTTGTCTGTTTTTGAGTTCTAATTCAGATTTTTTAGAAAACGGGAATTTTAACTCAAATTTCAACTTATTTTTTTTCATGCTTTTCTATGCCCCCCATGAAAACACGCTTGCCCCCTGGTCTAGAATCACCACTGCTGCCTCTTTTTGTTAATAGATATTCCACATTTATTTATCTCATGAGGCCTATTTGTAAAAAATAAAAAAGTAAGATTTTTTTTATCTTATTTTCTATGATAAAAAAATAAGATAAAAAATAAAATAAAATAAAAAAATATAAAAAAAACAAAACGTTTAAAATACAATTTTAAACAATAACACAAACCAGCCAGATTTCTGAGTGCGGGTTTGTCTGATCGTTCAAACACAGACGGACAAAAGTTCCTGCCACAAGCTCGACGCATGCCCTTAATCCTCCTGTTGCTTAACTTTGCAGCTATGGATGCTCTATCAACCCCTTTTTTAACAGAACAGGACAGGCCAGTGGCCCAAAACCAACAGACATTCTGGAAGCCTCTAGACTGGAGAGTTTGTCATTTTCCATTTTAGGCTCAGAAATCCTCCAGTGTGGCTTAGTTAAAACAAATATGCAAAGAATGTATCTTTAAAATATTGTAAAAGACTAAACCTGTTATGTCAAAGGATTTAGGGGAAAAACTTTGGAAAATGAGAAAGTTATTTACAATTTATTAGCCTTATTCCATTACATTTACAACATGTTTGATTTCTAACAACCCATTTACCAATATGTATTCACCTGCATCTGTTTTATAACGCTTTTGGGGTTATTTTTGCTGAAATACATGAGGATGTAATGCAACAGATGTTTATGAAATAACTTTGTTTAACACTGCATCTTTTTCCTTACTCCCTAAACAACAAAGGAAAATTGCTGCCTTTGTTCTCCCAGTAATCATGTTGTACTCTCACTCCTGTTGAGGCAACCACTGTTTTCAGCCTTTTTTCACCCCAAGAGAGTAATTAGATGGGTCTGAAACCATAAAGGTACTATATATATATATATATATATATATATATATATATATATAAACTGTATATCCTATAAAATCTATGTAAAATAAGCTAACATGCTAAAAGATCCATTCGTAGTAGAAAAGATGCATTCCAGTAGTTCAAGCCACT